CATGCTGGATGGTTGAGCAGTGCTCTGGGCAGTCCTCTCCGTGATGTCCTGTTTCAGAGAGACTGAACTCGCGGGGATTGGGATGGCGTTGTCGCTGCTTCCCCCCGGATGCGGCGCCAGCCAGAATACCCGCGACACCCACCAGAACTCCGCGAACATCTCAGGGATGTTCTGCTTGACGCTGTTGTCCTTCAGGAGCTCGTGGGGGCGTGTCGGGTTGTCCACAAAGTTGTGCTCGAACTTGACGCCCGTGATGTCTCCTGTCGGAGCCAAAGAATTCGGCATCGGCCTGCCACACGCTGTGGGTGCAGAGCAGCAAGAGTCCGTGGAAGCTGAAAATGTTCTCTCCTCGGCCCTTCCGCGCAGCCGTCAGGGTGTTCCCTCCGGAGATCTGCCGCGAAACAGCACTGCACAGAGGCTGATTCGGCGCGAAGTCGTTGACCCACGCGAACCTGCTGCCCTGCAGGTTTGCGAACTGTTCACGGGGCCGCTCCTGTTTCCCGACAGTGAGGGCCTCCTGGCAAAGAACCCCGCCGTTGTGCACGCCGAGGGCCTTCTCGCAGAGTTTTTTCAGGGTTCCCTTGCCCGTCGAGCCGTCTCCGTTGTCCTTGAGCGTCGCAAACTCGATCTTCTTCACGGCCTTGCCCACCACGCTCTCGAAGATGAGCCTGGCTTGAAACAGCGCCACGTTCCAGTCGCCGCCGTGCGGGTCGCGAAAGATGCTGCGCCACATCGTGCGCCCCACGGACGCCGCTTCCAGCTCGGCGGTATGAAGAGCATCACGATCCCCTGCAAGGTCTCAAAATACTCCAAGTCGGTGAAGAAAAGTCCTCGACTCTGCAGATGCCGAACGGTCGCCTCTGCGGAGAAGCCTTCGCTCGATGAGAACAGGAAGAGTCCCCCAGGTAACCGTGAACGACGCAGCCGGCGGGAAGCAGCTTGGCCGCCGCGTCCAGCTTCTGCCGCTCCCGGCGCTGACCTTTGCTCCCCAAAAAAAAAGGAGCGTTGCGGCCCCTGCCATGCCACTTGTACAGTGGCCCCTGCCATGCCACTTGTACAGTGGCCGCCACTTTCACAGGGCCCCCCCCCCCCAACACACGACACGACAACGTCTCCGTCAGCTCGTCGGCGTCACCTTCCTCAAGACAGGGGTCAGGGTGCAATCAAAAAGAATCCATGCCAAAATCACGCAAAACCATGCAACACACCATGCAAAGCCATGCAACACCATGCAAAACCATGCAAAATCATGTCATGCAAAAACCATGCAAAATCGTGCAAAACGAGCTATTACTCCTGTCCGTATATAGATATACGGGCTGGAGTAATAGCATTTTTCAGCGCAAAACCGTGCGAAACAAGCTCCCGACCATCTGCACAGATGCCCGAGAGTGCGCGCGGCCGAGCAAAAAAAACTGGACCCGTAAAAAAAGAATGGCAAGTTGGGCGAGACAACGACAGCAGATCACGGAGGCCGCGGACGGCGGCGCCCGGGCTCGCACGGGGGCGGATGGAGCCGTCGTGCTGAACTTGCGGCGCGGACCGGGGGCCTACGCGCTGCTCTCGCGCGCGGACGGGCAGCTGACCCGGGCGGGCCAGCACTACTACTCTCACCTGGGCCTCCCAGCAAGGACTTCGACTACAACCAGCCCCTCATCCGCGAGTACATCCTGCTGCGCAATGGGCGGAAGAAGCTCCTGCGCTCCCTGCAGGGCGGAGAGCACCGGCTGACCAAGCTGGGCAAGGGCTTCTTCCGCGACAAGTACTACGAGTACCTGGTCCACGTGCCAGTGATCATCCGGGGCAGGAGGCGCAGCGGGCGGAACGCCGGGGCGGGCTACGAGCGCAGGCAGAGCACGCAGTACAGGAACTCCAGGACTGAGGTGGAGACGCTCCTGCGCCAGCGCATGAGGGGCCTGAGGAGCGTGAGCTTCCAGCTGCCCGCGAGGAGGACGTGCTGCAGAGCGCCTTTGAGGACAAGCCGCTCTGGCCGAGCTGCTGCAGCTGAGCGTGGAGGAGGTGTGCGCCGACTTCGACGCCATGCTGCGCCACGACTGGAGGCGCCTCGGCATCTCCGCCGAGGAGGTGCGAGAGTTCTGCGTGTGGCGCAACGCCCCGATGCGCGTGCTGAGCTCGCAGGGCGACCTGGTGGACAGCTACGACCCGGCGCTGAAGGAGCACCGCACCGTGTGCTTCTTGGCCTTCGACGGGCACTGCTACATGTACAGGGCCGTGAAGCGGGTGCTGGAGCGGCAGGCGGCGCGCGTGCTCTACCGGGGCGAGGCGAGACCCTGCCGCCCATCCAAGAGTGGAGGCGCTTTGACGCCGCGGACGTGCAGCCGGGCCTGTTCTGGTGCGAGGACCTGCGGGAGGCGCGGCCAGCTCAGGAGGTGGTGCGAGGCGCTGGGGCAGGAGTACAGGGGCCAGCGCCTGGCCGGCTTGGCGCACGAGATCTTCCTGAAGCTGCTGAAGGCGAAACGAGAGGTGCCCGGCGCGGCGGAGAGGCAGAAGACCCTGGCCGCGCAGGACGGCAAGTGCGCGCTGTGCGGCTGCGGGCTGACGGCCGGCACCTGCGAGCTGGACCACGTGGTGCCGGTGCGGCAGGCCTTTGCGGGCAGCGCGCAGACTCTGCAGGCGCTGTGCGGCGACTGCCACAGCGAGAAGACGCTGAGAGAGAGCGCGCAGCCCACCAGCCTGGAGAGCCGCGTGGCCCCCGGAGTCATGGAGTACGCCCGGAGCCCCAAGCTGCCTCCTCTTGTCTTTGAGGCGCAGGCGTGCCAGAAGGACGCTCTGTACGTCGGCGTGGACGTGGTGCGCTGCAGGCGCAACGGGCTGGCCAACGCCCCCTTCCCCCTGCCCATCCTGTGCCCGGCGGACGGCGTTGAGCCCGTGGACGGCGTGCTGCCGGACCTGGGCTTTGTGGAGGGCTGCTGCGACGCGAGGCAGTCCTGCCTGAACCTGTTGCCGTACGTGGGGCCCGGCTGGTACCCGAAGGTTTCGCTGGCCGCGATGCTGGACCTGGGCGTCTGCCGCTGGGACCACATTGTGTTGGGCATCTCCGCGCGGAGCCACGTGGACGCGGCGACGCTGCGGCGCGCGCTGGAGCGCATGGACGCCGCGTGGCCCGAGGGCGAGGAGCACATGGCCAAGCTCAGCGAGCTGGACGGCGCGGGCGCGGACTTCTCTCAGGCCTTCGCCTACGAGGGGGGCATGGTGTGGGACTTCGTCTACGCCAGGAGGCTGCTGAGCAACGGCACCTCCATCCATGACGCGGTCCTGGGCTTTGAGCACTGCATGGTGGCCAAGGCCCGGCGCATCCTGGACGCGCCGCCGCGCTACCTGGCGCAGGTGAAGACGGACTGCCTGCTGACGCAGCGGCTGCCGAAGCGCTTCACGGAGCGGCTGCGGGCGCTGGAGGCGCTGCGCCACCCGGACGGCACGCCGGTCTACCGCGTGGAAGAGACGAAGCCGTTGCTGGGCAGCAGCAGGGCGCCGCGCATGGAGGCGGAGCGCCCCAAACAACGGAGGTGGAACGGGGTGGACGACCCTGTGGGCCACTGCCTGGCGGGCAACTCCCTGCTGCTCACACCGGAAAGACGCACCTGGCCCGGACCATTGTGGCGAGGCTGCGAGAGCAGGGCGAGGCGGTGCACCTGGTGTCCAAGACGCACTGCTCCGCGCAGAACCTGGGCCTGGGGGCGCAGACGGCCGACCACTGGGTGCGCAGGTACGTGCGCGGGGGCAGCGCGCAAAAGCTGGACTGGCTGGTGGTGGAGGAGATCACGCAGCTGGACATGGCGCTCTGGGCGGACCTGGCCTGCGTGGGGCTGAACGCCGACGTGAAGTTCCTGCTGCTGGGAGACTTCCGGCAGCTGCCGGCCGTGCTGGACTCCTGGGCCGGGCGGCCCATCAGCGCGCCGTTGGAGCACAGCCAGCTCATCCGCGACCTGGCCGGCGGGCACAGGCACGCGGCCAGCCGGGCTTGGCGGGGAACAGCTCCCGGGCCCGCGCCTTGGCCTCCTCCAGTCCCGGCCCCTTTCAGCTCGCCCACCCGCAGCCAGCGCGCATGTTTTCCGTGAGCCTGTGCCTGTGGCCCCCAGCCAGGTCAATCACCGCCCGGGTCTTGAATGCCTGCTGCGCCCAACTGCTGCCACAGGCAGCCGCAATCTTACAGGCCAACAGCAAAGCGCAGAAAGGGCGCAATCTTGCACAACCGGCTGGGGTGGCAAGTAGATTGCATCTGCTCGACATCATTAAAACCTTCTCTGTTTTTTGAAGTCCGTGTTTGGCCAACGGGTTCCAAGTGGTACCTAGGGACCCTCCCTTGGCGACTGACTTGCCAAACGCAGTTTAAATTTGGACCTGTTCGTCCAGCAAGCCAGGACGCTGGATGCTCTGGGCTGTCGCGTTTGCCAATTGCAATGACTTGGATTTCTAGCGGCTTGTGGTGTGGCCATGCATTTTGATGAAGACCAACCTTACAAAATGGTCCCTGGACATGAATCTCCACATGAAGTCCACCAAACAATCCCATCAATAAACAATAATACCCTTGTGATTTGCACATGGCAGGTACTGCGCCTTGCCATTCTGCTATTCGTTTTTGAGGTCGCTCTTCCTGGTTTCAACTGTTTGTTTTGCAGGGATGATGAGTCGCTATTTTGGAGGACTTGTTGGCAATTGATGCATGGAAACGTATGCCCGACTTCTTGCAGTGTGAGCGGCTTTCGTGGCTAGGGAGAATATGGAGCTTTTCATCCTAGGTGTTTAGGTCCAGAACGATCAAACGCCAGCGAGCTGTTCGAGACAATGAAGATGAAGCTACTATTCAGGCTTCACGAAACCATGTGAGCCACAACTTTTTCCACAGCATCCTTACCACCGCAAAGGATCTGTCAAGGCAAATCAACATGCATTTCAAATGGGTTCGGTAAGGACGAAGTTTCTACTGCATGTACGCATAAACATAAGCTTGAAAACAATGAGCATCATGAAGATCACAGCCAGCGCGTTCTGGTGGATGTCGGCCATGGCAGCTTGTCTTCATGATGCGGCGGAAGTACTGGGCACTTGCTGTGCTGTGCGCGAGCCTGGTATTCTTGCTCTACAATCGCTCCTTTAACATATGCTCCACGGGGAGTCTTGGCAGAATTCAAATTCGGTGCCAGATCAAAACCTCACGACCTCAAGCCGGCCATTGGTTTCACTGTCTTAGATGATTTGGGCGACATCAATCCCAAAGCAACACATCCCAGGCACAGTTGATGCTTTTTTGGAGATTAGCGAAGATCATGCCACTTTTGAATCGCAAATCGTAAGCGTGAAGGGGTGAATAGTTATGAACATTTTGGGTTTTCCCATGAACTAACAGCAATTTGAGATGACAGGCTCGTTGAAACCCATGAACTGACCACCACTGTTAGTGTTGGTAGCACTGTAGTGCCAAACTTTTCTGACTTAACACCTGACATGATTGAACGACCCTCAATATGGAACTTTGCTGAAGCAGCCGCCAAAAGCCCTGAGGCTTTGCAGCGACCGACGCATTCAGCCAGTGCGGCCTGTGCAGGCGTTTTTTTTTTTTTTTTTTTTTTTTTCCCATACATATATATATATATATATATACATATATATATATATACATATATATATATTTACATATATATATATATATATATTAGTGTCAATCTGAGGTTCGGTCGTTCGACCACAGCCAGTTCTTTTTTGCGTTGGAACCAGCGTTTCTTTGTGTTTTGGGAGGATTGCCTCATGAAGGAACAAGCTCGAGGGAGAAACTTCAGGTAGAGCACCTTCCCGATCCCGAGGAAGCCCACCCGGTCGAAACCAGTTCCCCCGTGTCAGATGGGAATGCCCCTTGGACGGCCAACACTACGTCTGGTTCTTGAAAAAATGTGAGAGGGTGACTTTGCTGAGAGTCATGAGAGTCTTGTTTGGTTGAGCCGCGAGGCTTGAAACAATTTGGTTGGGTAGAATGGGGTATGTAGTCTACCATCTTTCACAATTGTTGCCATCGAAATTTCCAGTAGTCTGTGGTCCATTTGTGGGGACTCATAACATTTTCCACAAGCAGAAACCAGGCGACTTACTATTTTTGCCACGTCCATTGCGGTGCCCGCAAATTTGAACATGGCTTAGTTGTTTCCAGGCGGCAGAGACACTTCCCGCCACGACGACACGGGACCCCACGCCGAAAAGCTGTTTACCAGCCGGCATGCGCGTTGCAAGAACGTCTGCTGGCTTTGACATGGTAGTTCTGGAGAAGGACGACATCGTGTCCAACGATATTTACACGAAGCACGAGTGGGAAATCGCGAGAACTGAAGATATGGCCAGAAGAGCAGGGACGACGCTGCCGCCGGGTGGAACTTTTCTGGACATTGGCGCAAACATCGGCTACTACACGCTGCTTTTCGCGCAGAAAGGCTTCAATGTGATAGCAGTGGAGGCCATGACACGGAATCGGCAGGCCATTATGGGCAGCCTTTGCTTGAACCCGCAGCTGCAGGAACGAGTGACCATCGTACCTGCTGCATTGGTGGCACCCTGGGAAGTGGACAAGGGTCATTGTGTCGTAAAAAGCACAAACTACAAAGTGAACATTGGCAATGGCTTTCTGAATTGCAAGCAGGGCGAGAGCTGTCAGAGTGGAGATGAGAATTGCCAAACGGTGCCCGTGAAGACACTGGACACGGTACTCGAAGATTTGGCCCCATCATCCGTGGATGTGGTAAAGATGGATGTCGAGGTGTATGAGTGCCACGTGCTTGCCGGCGGTGGTTCCTTGTTCGCACACTTCCAGCCAAAGCTTCTGCAGATTGAGACGGCGTGGGGCAATACCAGTGCATGCGTGCATGAGCAAGCTGAGAAACATGGGTATAGAGAACAGAAGTTTGGTGGTGACACTGCAATGGTACGAATTGGCCACGAGGCGCCAGAATTGCAACAAGCGCCCGCAGACATTGGCACCAGCACACAAGCAAGTTCTTCCACGACGTTGGACCCTGCTCCGATTTTTAAACAGAGCGTAATTTCGACCAGTACTTTGTCGGCCACACCAGCAGGAATTTCTGACTCTATGCGCAACATGTGTGTGCCAGCCGGCATGCGTGTAGCGGCAGTTTCTGCTGGCTTCGACATGGTTGTTTTTTCCGAAGATGACTTGGTCTCTTCTGAAATTGTGGCCACGCAAAGATGGGAGATTGACAACCTGGAGCAGATGGCCAGCAAAGCAGGGACGACGCTGCCGCCAGGTGGAACTTTTTTGGACATTGGCGCGAACCTCGGCTACTACACGTTGCTTTTCGCGCAGAAAGGCTTCAATGTGATAGCAGTGGAGGCCATGACACGGAATCGGCAGGCTATTATGGGCAGCCTTTGCTTGAACCCGCAGCTGCAGGAACGAGTGACCATCGTACCTGCTGCATTGGTGGCACCCTGGGAGGCTTGGAAATAGAGGCGGTTCGCCGCTCACTTTCTCTTTCTTGCTGTGTCTGGCTCTCTGTTTCTACCTCTCTCTCTCCCTCATCCGCTCGCGCTCCCGCTCCCTCTCCCTCTCCCTTCCGCCTTCCTCTCTCCTGGGTTTCTTTCTTTCTTTCTTTCTTTCTTTCTTTCTTTCTTTCTTTTTTTCTTTCTTTCTTTCTTTCTTTCTTTCTTTCTTTCTTTCTTTCTTTCTTTCTTTCTTTCTTTCTTTCTTTCTTTCTTTCTCTCTTTCTCTCTTTCTCTTTTTCTTTCTTTTTTCCTATCTTTCTCTTTTTCTTCTTTCTGTATTTCTTTCTCTGTTTCGTTGTCTGTTTCCTTGTCTGTTTCTTTCTCTTTCTCTCTCGCTCTCTGTCTCTCTTTCTCGCTCTCTGTCTCTTTTTTTTTTTTTTTTTCTTTCGCTCTTTCTCTCTTTTTGCATTCTCTGGGCCTTTTGTTAATTCTTCTTTGTTGTGCGATTTTTGACTTTCAATGTCCTCGTCCGCGCCGCTCCTTCTTGTCCTCCCCCTCCCGGGCCCTCCTCCTCAGAACCTGCCGTCATCTGCGGGACATTCCTTTTTCATTTGGGCAAAACCCTGGCTCGCCATTTGGGGGATACTACCCCTGCTCAATGACAACTATAGTTAGCCTAAACGACACTTTAAAATCATTGCAGTTTGGCAGCTCGTTTTCAGGCATCAGCTACAGCGACATCCAACGCGTGGCTACAATGCAATTGCCCCCAAAACAAACACCTGGTTGTCAAAAAAGAACACCAAAGCGTCACGCTTCGTGTGCGCCGAACCCGTTTCCGCGTCCTCCGCGAGCCGCGTGCAGGCCTTCGGGCGCTGCGTGATCCAGGCCACCCCGCACCGGCAGTCCAGCGGGCAGCTGCTCTGCCCCAAGACCTGCCCCGACGCGGACTGCGAGGAGGCGACGCGACGGCCGGGTTGGGTCGTTTGCGTTGGGTCAGGTGCAGAGCCAACGCAGAGGTGGCGAAAAAAGCCAGGGGGCGGGGTGGTTGGGTGTTGGTTTTTTTCAGGTTTCCCCAAGAAAATGAGATGAACAGCTTTGAGCCTTGAAACCAAAGCGAAAGAAAGCAAAGAGAGGTGGCGCTGGAGACCCTGGACGCGGTGCTGGCGCGGCTGAAGCCGCAAGGAGAGGGGGGGAATAGACACCAGCTCCAAACTAGACTTACTTCGCCGGCTGGGAACAATGTTTGAACGTCCAGCAAACATGTTTGAGAATATTCCCCTGAAATTCATAGCCACCTCCCAAGACCTCAAACCTGTTCTAAAGCCGCTGGGTAGCACGTGGGATGATTGTCCTTCTTTTCCAGTCTTGCAGATTGGTTTTGCATCTTGGTCTCAAATTGAACGATGTGCTGCGTCAGACAAGGAGTAGCAGTCGCTAAAATAGATATTGATCTCTGCCGGGTGCTTGCTGGGGGTGAGTCGCTCTTTCAGTACCATCCCAAGATCCTGCAGATACAAACCGGGCAGGCGAAATGTGCACTCGCAGTCGCTGTCAAGCATGGGTACCATGCCCTGCAGGGGGGGGCCATGCTGGTGGATGTCGGGACAGATGTGCCTCACAGCGACGCGATCTCGACAGTGAGCCAAGCTGGCAGTCCTGCCCTGGACAGGCTGACAAAGTGCAGGCCGCCCGGCATGCGCGTTGCCAGCACGTCTGCTGGCTTTGACATGGTGGTTCTGGAGAAGGACGACATCGTGTCCAACGATATTTACATGAAGCACGAGTGGGAAATTGCGAGACCTGAAGATATGGCCAGAAGAGCAGGGACGACGCTGCCGCCGGGTGGAACTTTTCTGGACATTGGCGCAAACATCGGCTACTACACGCTGCTTTTCGCGCAGAAAGGCTTCAATGTGATAGCAGTGGAGGCCATGACACGGAATCGGCAGGCCATTATGGGCAGCCTTTGCTTGAACCCGCAGCTGCAGGAACGAGTGACCATCGTACCTGCTGCATTGGTGGCACCCTGGGAAGTGGACAAGGGTCATTGTGTCGTAAAAAGCACAAACTACAAAGTGAACATTGGCAATGGCTTTCTGAATTGCAAGCAGGGCGAGAGCTGTCAGAGTGGAGATGAGAATTGCCAAACGGTGCCCGTGAAGACACTGGACACGGTACTCGAAGATTTGGCCCCATCATCCGTGGATGTGGTAAAGATGGATGTCGAGGTGTATGAGTGCCACGTGCTTGCCGGCGGTGGTTCCTTGTTCGCACACTTCCAGCCAAAGCTTCTGCAAATTGAGACGGCGTGGGGCAATACCAGTGCATGCGTGCATGAGCAAGCTGAGAAACATGGGTATAGAGAACAGAAGTTTGGTGGTGACACTGCAATGGTACGAATTGGCCACGAGGCGCCAGAATTGCAACAAGCGCCCGCAGACATTGGCACCAGCACACAAGCAAGTTCTTCCACGACGTTGGACCCTGCTCCGATTTTTAAACAGAGCGTAATTTCGACCAGTACTTTGTCAACCACACCAGCAGGAATCTCTGACTCTATGCGCGACATGTGTGTACCAGCTGGCATGCGTGTAGCGACAGTTTCTGCTGGCTTCCACATGGTCGTTCTGAAAAGCAAGGATATTGTGTCTCAAGAGATTTATTCTTTTCACCATTGGGAAGTCAACGATGCAGAGCACATGGCCAGAAGAGCAGGGACGACGCTGCCGCCGGGTGGAACTTTTCTGGACATTGGCGCGAACATCGGCTACTACACGCTGCTTTTCGCGCAGAAAGGCTTCAATGTGATAGCAGTGGAGGCCATGACACGGAATCGGCAGGCCATTATGGGCAGCCTTTGCTTGAACCCGCAGCTGCAGGAACGAGTGACCATCGTACCTGCTGCATTGGTGGCACCCTGGGAAGTGGACAAGGGTCATTGTGTCGTAAAAAGCACAAACTACAAAGTGAACATTGGCAATGGCTTTCTGAATTGCAAGCAGGGCGAGAGCTGTCAGAGTGGAGATGAGAATTGCCAAACGGTGCCCGTGAAGACACTGGACACGGTACTCGAAGATTTGGCCCCATCATCCGTGGATGTGGTAAAGATGGATGTCGAGGTGTATGAGTGCAACGTGCTTGCCGGCGGTGGTTCCCTGTTCACACACTTCCATCCAAAGCTTCTGCAGATTGAGACGGCGTGGGGCAACGCCAGCCACTGTGTACAAGCGGCAGCCTTACAGTACGGTTATTCGACAAAGAAGGTTGCTGGCGACACAGCAATGGTTTCGAAGCCGCTTTAAGGCAATCGTAGGCGCATGGAACACCCATAGGGTTTTGCGCGCTACTGGGTTGCACTGCCCTTGCATGCTTGCTTGCTCTAGCGTCACAAGCTGCGCAGAAAGGAAGCTGTATTGACCTTGTTCAGCCATGTGGTGATAGTAGCAAGTCGATCAAACTACAAGGTTGTCCCTTTTGACCGACGCCATTCGGACGGGTTCATCCCCACAACCAGTGCTTCAAACATGTCTGATTCAAGAGATGCCCCCTTTTGGTTTTGCGAAATAACTCGAAGCGCGCCATCTCAGCGGTCGACGTTACGCTTTTATCAAGTCCAGCAGCTCAGAGAAGAAGTCTGCAGTATAGCATAAAAACTGGCCGGCAAAACCCATGGCCCGATGCCTTCTTGGCATCACAGCAAGAAGATCTCCAGTTTCTGGGGAAAAAAAACACAAATCGGTATCACTGCGGAAAAAAAAAACAAAAAACAAAAAAAAAAACGCCCCAGTTTCCGGTGCGCCGGGCCAGCTCCGAACCTGTGCGCGGCCAGCACTCGCTCAATGCTGCTTGCCGCGGCGACTGCACCGAGGCATTGAAGGGCTGGTCGAAATCCGGTGCGGGTTTCTTTCTTGACATATGGCTGGTCAACACCGTTTTGGGATCCCATGGTAGGCGAATTCACCACCCATTTTACTCTATTTAGCGATGTTCACTGGATGTACGGGGTTTTGACTTGTGGGCATATTGAACGAACCAAAAGCAAGAAGACCAAACACACACACACAAATGTTGTCGAGGTGCGATCAAGTTATTTGATGCCCATAGTCCATCTGAGAAACATGAACCACTCTCTAAATTTGAACCGCAAAATGCAAGTTGGTTTTTGTCAATTAGTCCATGTCCATAAAAGGTATAGGTACAGCCGCGGTACATACATTGGCTATGATATCTATCACCCACAATATATGTATATATGGTACAGCGTTGTCAGTCCCCCCCTCCCCAATGGTCATGGGTCAGACAAGTACCTCCCCCCCCTCTGTGGTTGTGGTCCTGTGGTTGGGTTGTGGTGGTTTAGGGTGGTTTAGAATTGATGTGTATTTAGTGTTAGTTTAGGGTTGGTTTATGTTGATTTAGGGTTGGTTTAGGGTTGGTTTAGGTTCAGAGGTGTACGGTTTAGGGTTTGGTTTAGGGTGTGTTTAGGGTTGGTTTAGGGTTAGTTTAGGGTTGGTTTAGGGTTTATTGTTTAGGGATTGGTTTAGGGTGTATTTGGGGTTAGTTTAGGGTTGGTTTAGGGTTAGTTTAGGGTTGGTTTATGTTGATTCAGGGTTGGTTTAGGTTTAGAGGTCTACGGTTTAGAGTTTGGTTGAGGGTGTATCTAGGGTTGGTTTAGGGTTGGTTTATGGTTGGTTGTGGCTTGGCTTGTCCTGGGGGTGGGGGTGCCGGGGTGTCGGGGTGCGAGTTCAGGGGGTCGGGGTGGGGGTGGGACCGTAGGTGCCAGGATCCGGGGGCTTGGGGTCTCGGGCCGTGGGGGGGGGGGGTTCCTGGGGGACCCATACCAGGGGGGTAGCAACACGGAACACGGGACCATATATATATATATATATATGAGTACTGCCGGTGGTCTGTTGTTAGGATATGGGGGGCTACCCGATTTCTCATATGTTCTCACAACTAGGGGGACTACCCAACAAGCGAACTAACTGTATGTAATATTGTCGCGCCCTTCTGTATTGCTTTTCAAGAGGCACCAACACGAGTTGCCACCTCAAGTCGGCACTGTACCTCTTTTGAGGTGTTTTGCAGGGCAACCCAGCAAAGGCAAATCCCATTTGGGGTCTCTGAGACAAATATGTGCTGTCAAAGCGCAAGTGGGCCCTCCTATAAAGGAGATCGGCCCTTTTTGACGCTTTACACGATTGACATGGGCCAGCCGATTGCCACCTTGAACCCCCGGAGGGCTGTTTGAGTGCATAGCTCCGCGGTGATTTGCCGGCGGACGGCTTTCCGAGTGTTGCAAGGGAAAACAACGCATAGTGACCCGATGGGTATGATAGGGCTCCCAGATATTTCCCTTAGCGAGGCACGCTGAACCATGTCTCGTTTCGTAATTTGCTACTGTATTTCATTTTGGTGATGCTTCAAGGGGACGTAGAAGCAGCCCTGCATCAGAACAAGACGAGCACACGCAAGAGCGGTGGCTCTGACCCTTGTTTGGCCAGCTTGGGTTGCCACACGGCCATCCAAAACCATATGTGAAAGTTCGGGTTGCGGCAGACCACTTTGTTCGTCAATGACGCCCCAGTTTCTTGGTCGGACTTGGAGCTCTTGGGGGCCTCGGCTTGGATGCGACATGCGACGCCAGGCCGGCCTTCCGAAACCCCGCGCCGAGAGGCCGGCAGACCCGGCAGGCGGAGCGGGGCTTTGCGGCGGCACGGACGGAGGCGCGGAGCGGCAGTGGCCGGAAGAATCGCCGGAGTTTGCGGTGTTTGGGCATTTGGGAGGCATGCCGCGCAGACGTGGGTTCCCATGGAGTAAGTTAACAACTTCAGACTATCTTACGTTTTCCTCGGGTCCTGACAGCCGGGCAACATTACAAGCGCTGCTCAACTGAATTCACCAAGCCACTAGCATCGACTTCTTGGATGTTTGCTGATGTGAGGTTTTCCGCACGGCTTTTTCTTCGCATCTAGCAAGCGTCCTTACATCTTCGCGCCTGATTTAAATGTCACCTGCTGAGGTGATTCTGAACGAGAGTTTGCATTTGTTGTGATGAAAAGGACAAAACTGGGCAGCCCCCGCCCGAACGATCACGCTTGTTTCAACTTCTGTCCCTTCAGTCTCCCGTTAAACCAATCCTGAAAGTGGTACCTGCTCTCCCACTAACATGGCACCTCAGAAATGGTCCCTACAAGAGGAAATTGATCTTCCAGGCACCCTCCCACAGGTGCTATGTCGGAGGGAGGGTACCCATCAAAGATCTTCTCAGGAATCTGAGTGACGTCCCAGGCGGCAAAAGGAGCGCTTCTTGCGCTTTGTGGGGCCTTCGCTTCACGGTGCCGGCAGGGCGCTGAGAAGGTCTTCGGAGTGCAACCGGCTTCTTTCGGGGCGTTCGTTCGTTGCCCTTTTCAGGTTCATTGTCATATGGGTGTCTCGCAGTTTGGGAGTGCGAACGATCGGTGAAAAGTGCCGCAAGTGGCCACCTGAGACGTTGATTGGGGTCACGCAAGTCGTGATGCGTTTCGGGTCCGGCGGAGGCTTTGGGTCGGACTGTTCAGGGCGTTTTGGAGCAAGTTAAGGTCTGAGGCCTTTGGAGTCAAAAGCGCAACAAGGCGAAACCCTGACGTGGCTTGGGAAACGACTTGGGCCTGCAAGTGGGATGAAAACCTTGGCGCGAGGCAAGGCTGGCAGAAGCCGCGGATCACGAGGCGAATCCTGGATTTCCTTTCTAGTAGGTGGCAAGTGGTGCTGGGATGACTGCTCTTTCTGTTTCCCATTTTCATGGCCGTTCAAGCTTCCCAATTGTGAAATGTTTGGGTGGGAAACGTCATGACTCCCGCACAGACGAAACATCAAATGGGGACATGCACTGGTGAACAGATGGGATGTTTGTACGCCGATTGTATTTAATGAGAGACCGGCTCCCGACTGATCTAATATAAACGCACGTTTGGTTTGAGTTGAGCATTCGGATACCGTTTTGTTCGTCGGAATAACACATTTTGCCCTTTGGGCTTCCAACTTGAAGCCCCACTGGACATTCATCTGATCCAGTGTTGCAACCTTTGGCAGGTGGCGCATAGCAATCATGCGATTCGTGCCTGTGTGTAAATGAATACTAGAGAGCCACACAACCGAATAATAGGATCAATAGATACGCCAAGAAATCAATATGGATGCGCACAGACACATGATTCGTTTTGGCATGCGTCGTGTTGGCATGCGAGACAGTGAGAGACCTTGCAGTCGTCAATGGTCTCAGAAGCTAGGAGACGAATTGGCAAGCATGCTGATGCTGCACCACATGTCAAGCATATCCAGATATTCCTCAAAGCTAACATGAGAAGCTCCGAGAACTTCTGTTGCCAGTTATTTGCAAGAGCCTCATCGGACCTTGCTGAAGCTTTAGAGCCATGGTAGCGCCAGAAGTAGAGGGGCTGTGGGCAGCAGCACGCGTTTGTCAATCCTTTTAATAGATACACACGCTGTTGTGTTTAAAAGTTTAGGGCGCCTCCAAACAGAAACATATTTTCCCATTGAGTCCTGGTGAGTGAGTTGCTGAGCCGTTCTTGCCAGGATCCGGCGTTTCAACGTCAACGCCACTGGCCTGCCCAGGAGCAAAGTTGGACGCTGGTTCGTTTGTTTCCCCGCGAGCGGATGTTCCCGGGTTCTGGTTGACGCTTGCTGGCAGTACTCTTTGCCGGCTGTCGGTGGCGTGTGGCGGGTTTGGCGTTGACTCTAGTTTGCAGCTTGCAAAGGGCGTTAACGCTGAAACTTCTTTGTTTCGAAGATCTCAGACTGCCAGTACTCAGATGTAAAGCGTGCGAATCAACTCCAAAACAACCCGGCAAAACTCTCCAAACCCATCCTTGTTTCCACTCAATGAGAGCTGGCGACTATCAACATGCCCAAAGCAGTTGAAGGTTGCTCCACTTGCAAGATTCGGTGCTGTCAAAATACAACATATTTTGCGTCGTTTCCCCCTCCAGAGAAGGAGAGTCAGACTGTACAGTTATGACCGTACGGGTGAGCGCTCATGACGCGCCTTGCCCTTTGAAATAGCTGAAATATATTTTTGTTCTAAGCGGTGGATTCAGCGCCACAAGAAACCCAGGCGTTCTGGAAGGCACGCAGCCCCTAGATGTTTGATCACGTAGTTGGCACTCGGGCACAGTCGCATGAGTCTCTGACAACATCATTCCTAGTCTACTGCTAGTTTGGGGAGGACGTGCGGCAACAAAATCCAGCGGGCCGTTCAATTTTCCCATGTCCTGTTGGGGAGGCAAGTAACTCTACTGCTATTGGGTTGGATTTTTAGACTTCAAGTTTTGGGATATATCTTGTATGTCCTCTTGACCTGCAAAAAGTTATTTTGTTTTTGCGGAGGGGTCCACAGCACCCGAGGTAAGATATTCTTTCCGTCATGAATGTTTTGGGCACTTGTGAAAGAAGGCTTCCTGAAGGGTTCCTTGCAACATTGACCTTCGTATTCATATGGCGCAGAACAACTGGAAGTGGGTTGCGCGCAGATGTGACATAGTGAGACAGCCACTACAAGCCTTTGCGCAAAGAAAGTCGGGTTGTTGGAGGGAATACTTGCAGGTAGAGAAGATAACAAACTGCAAATGCAGGAGATGTGAACATAACTTTCTCACTGCTGTGCCTGGGATGAATGGTCGTGACCCTAACAGAGGAGGAGCTGCTAGCCAAGCTGTAGATAAGGCCTGGGTTTTTGGTTGTATCGTTTGCTTCTTAGGGAGCCTTTCCGGGCGAATTGTAGCTAGGGGGCGAGTCGGGTGTCTATTCGAGGCAATTTCTGGTGAGTTTGACGTGAATTTTTGGGCGTGAATTTGGGGCGTATTTTTTTCAAGGCGAACTTAGTTGGGGGTCTGTTTGATTCCATGGGGTCGATTTGGCCCGACGGATCGATTTGGGGCCCCGGCAGCTCACGGCTTCGCGGAGCTTCGGCTGGAGGAAGATCCTCCTGCGCCCGCAGACGCGGATCGCCCACGCGGAACGCCCGCTGGAGCCGGGGCCCGAGCGACCCCGGCCCCCGACGTTTTCGGGGGGGTGCGGGTGGGGGGGGGTGGGATTGCTTTTCTGCTTTCATCAGCTTTTGGCTGTCGTTTGGATTGAGTTTCCTTTTGAGGGTTGATGTTGAACGGGGAAATACGAGAAACACCGTGGTTTGAAAGTCGTCGTTTTGGCATTTTGAGTGAGTTTCCTTCCGGAGCTGCGATGTTACAAAGCTGAACAAGGACCTTTTCCTGGCAACATGCAATTCGAACGTCGAAGATGAACATTCTCAATCACGTTCCAGGTCAGTGTGAGTAGTAGTTCCCAAAGACCGATCAGCTTCGTTACATTCTTTCTGGAGCCGCGGTAGCATTGAGCGACAGCGACAACTTGCGTGCGCTCCGGGAAGAAAGCGGTGCAACGCCGGGGCCATGGGCAACCCCCGGGCTTGCAAACCTGAAGCGGAGTGTGGGTTGGACCGAGAAGTTGGGTTTTGGTGACAGCCTGGAATCCACAGACACGAATCAGTTCAAAGGCAGCTTCGGACCAGCGATGGAAGAATCAGGTGCATCACTGATGGGCTCCACTTGCTCAGACGGGCGAAGCCACTTCATTGAGCCGGATTTGCGACCAGAGCAAGGGCACAATTGTCAAGGTTTTCCAATGTTCTCTAATTTCTATTGTGAACTGTTTTTTTTGTTTGTTTTTTGTTTAAATTGACGTTTCCTTTTTAAAGGGAAACTGCCATGAAGACGGCTCAGGGAGGTTCCCCTTGGCACAAGCCCGGAGTTCTAGCGAGTCCCAAGGGTGGAGGGCCTGCAGCTTTGCTCGGGCATGTCGGAGCTCGTGGACTGCCGCGGGCCCGGCGAGGGTTTTTGTTGTGTCGGGAGACCCCAAAATTCTAGTGGGTCGCCCTATTGCGGTGGCTTGGCTGTTGAACTGCCAAGTCTCTAGGGGTTGATTCCTCTTCCATTCTTTTCAGCCATCGTTCTTTTCCAAAACCAGGCTTTTCCCCCGTTTTTTGTTTGGCCCCTAGACAAAATGGAAGCTCGAGAGGTCTCTGGTGGGTTTCTCCCGAACCCCTTTCCAGGCGCGAGAAGGGAAGTCGCCTCGTTGGTCTTGGGAAGTCGAAAGTCACAAGCCACTCGTTGCATGGCCCAATGGCACTGGACAATTCCTGCTTAAAGATGTCCTCGGTGTCAACTTCCAGCCACGGCCGCCCGAGCGCTGGAAGTTTAGACGGGACATCCAATGCCGGGGCGAGTGAGGCTCTAGGTCGCTAACCCGTCGTTGAGCTTTTTGGACACTCCTCTTGGGGTTGAGGGGAACCAACAGCGCTTTTCGGGGGCTATGTCAAGAGACATCCACTGGTTCATTTCAACAAAACTGAACCAATTCAACTGGCTTGAAGTCAACCTTACAACTTTCAACGGAGCTGTTCGCCCCAAACCCCCATCGGCTAGCTGGTTCTACCCGATGTGTCATAAAGCTGAACCTAAGGTCTGGGGTTTTGGGCGCTGCCCGCGAAATCTCAGGCTACGACGCCTTCACTTTGGATCAATACGGCGTGCTCAGCGACGGTCGCCCGGACCTGAGAGGAACCGTGGGTTGCGCGAAATCGCGTTTCGCGTGAATCGCGTGGTTATCGGGCGGGTTTTTCTTTGGGCTTCGTGTTGATTTCATTTTGCCAAATGAAGCCATGAGGTGCCCGGCTCCTGGATGAAGGGAAGCTGACCAGCTTGATATTTTATGCTATACCTTACATAATGGCTGTTGGAAGTAGCTCCCCATCTAAATTCACGAAAAAGCCCACTGAAATTCATAGAAAACTGTATGACCAATTCACTGCAAGCAACATGCCAAGTGACGTGTGGCAGTGCCTCGTGCCCCAAATGCCGCGCTTTGCATCGAGTGCCCCTCCCTTTCTTGAGCTTAGGGAGAGAATCATTTGGCTGTGGCTCAAAAAACCGGAATTCCAAAATGGGTTGCCCTGAGTGGAAACATGGACCAACACCTGCGGTTTGCCCCTCTTGTTTAATTTTGAGCCTCACCCATTTTGCCTTGTTTTATGTAACAAATCCATGGTTCCTTCATGCATTTCCAGGGTTGCAAATTCGATGGTTGCGTCCATTCGGGAGGTTTTCGCCAAAGGTTCTGTGTCAAAATATCCAGTACGATTCCAGGATGGAGAGAGGATGTCCCACTTGAAAGGGGGAACACCCCCTATTGATCCGTGAGATGTATTCATCCGGGGTCAACATTCGTGTATGGTCAATTTGAGCCAGAAAAGTTCAATGGGGACTCATGGAGTTTCCATCACAAGGGGCACAATTTCCTAGTCTCCCCATGTCCGGGAATGGACCATTTCTATCAGAACTCAACGTTGCACACCGCTTATTAGATGCAGGCGAGGCGTTCGACGGTGCTGCGCACTGCATCGCCCAAATGAAGGCGGGATGCAATGGCCGCCTTGGGCCATTGCCCGGCAAAAGGTAGCGAATCTCGGATGAGTTAAGTAAGCATCATCATTTTTAGCTGTTCAACCAACATGGATGCGGCCATTTTCAAAAAAATGAAAAACACACATCATCATTTGGGGAGAGGCGCGATGCTTGAATGGGACATCTAGTTTCAAGTCGCTGCGACTTGTAGGCTGCAGGCAAGCCCTGCGTGATCCTCTCCAACTATGCTGGCGGGATGAGCGGCGAGGGACTGGCACACGTGCATCCCGAGTACTGAGTGTTTGTTGAATCATTCTATATATTAGGGCTTGCCTTTATTCACAAAACTTGGGGTAAATTTGAGGTAAATTGGTGGTAAAGAGTGCTACAGGCAAGGCTGCATTTATATATTTAGTTCTGGCCTGTCGAAGCACTTGAGATGAAGAGCCGACTTCCCTACAGTGCCATTCTTGTGGATCTATTTGCCTCAAACGTGTGGTCTTTTTGTCCGGGTCAATCGTTTGGACAGCGCAAATCAAGCCTTGCATCCAAAGCCTTCTTGCTGCACGAGATGGATGTGACTATTTTGGAGGCTTCTTGAATTTGTTTCTCCATGAAGACCTGGCATGGCGAGGCCGCGCAGAGCGGCAAATGGAGCGACTGCCGAGCATGGGCGGAGCTCTGAGCAGAGAGTTGAGGGCAACGTGGTCGCTGCCCCATGCTTGTTGTTTGGCACCGGTTTTGGTTTTAACAGTGGCAACGCATCATTTGCGGACTGGCCAATTTGCAGCTGCTATGAGTCCAGCGGCTCGGTGTGCCACGCTTTCACCATCTGTGTGGCCTCGGCGGTCGCCTCCTAGTCATCCCTGGTCCCCAGTTCCTTCGAACCTTTGCGCCACTCTTTGACCAACCGGAAAAAAAAAAGAAAAAAAAGAAAAAGGAAAAAACCATTTGCAAGCCAGGCCCCCTGACCGAAGGCCGAGTTCAGATTCGCGCGGGCCGGAGTTCCGGCGGGCTCAGGATTGGAGCCCCATGGCTTGGCGGTGGCCCGGGGACTTGAAGCCGGCTGGACGTGGGCGGTCGAAGTGGCGGGCAGAGTTGGAGCGCTCCCAATGCGTGCAGTTTGAGAACTGGAAATGTATGAGCGCTGTGTATCAATACGGGTTGCTGTGAGAGGGAAGTCGCGATCAAATGCAAGCGCCGGGAGATTTGCTGGGCGTCAGTGCAGCTTTCCACGCTTTCTTCGATTAAAGTTGATATGCCTGCGCTAGCGTTCGTTATGGGCCGCCCCTAACTCCGAAAGAGTGCTGAAGGTTCTTCTTGTAAATAGTTTTTGCAAGCAACTCAATTTTGCGACACTCCCGTCCGGACAGCCAGATGATGGACACTTCATTGGTAAGTCCGAGAGAGAAAGAGGGCGGCGTTTGGTCTCAAATATCGCCAGTTCTTGCTGACTTGTTTTGAGACGGACAGGAGAAACATTTCTATACTCCGAAATGCCACTTTGGGGGATATTCAAGACGAGCAGCACGCAAAATCGAGTGGTTCCGTCGGGAATCCATGGAACATCTTCGGCTTGAGATCGTGGAGGTTTGTTTGGGACCGATTTGGCTCAAGCGTACCATGTTGGGCTAGGTGAATTCACCACCCATTTGACTCTATTTTAGTGGTTGGATTGAATCGGATGAATTCACTGGGGGCTAAGCGATTTGGCTTTTGAGCCATGGCATCATGGGCATTTGGCTGAGGTCACTGCCGGTGAGCTGGCGCACAACTACCTGGCCAAGCAAGGCGGGAGCCGATGAATGCGGCTGGAGAGCCGGATCCACTGAGAGCGGGTTACATGTCGACGTCTTGCCCCCACGACCTACATGTGTAGTTGAACGCATGCGCATATATACGTTAAACGAAAACAAGACCACACACACACACGCACATAAACAAACACAACACAACACACACGCACACTGACATAAATTTGCACTCACACACACAAACACACCTCAACACACATATATATATATATCATAGAATAATACACTCACAGTCTTGTTGGAGACCGATGTTGGTGCTGCATGCGCTGCTCGTCGCGCTTTTGGTGCATTACGTTGATCTGGTGTCATTGCGAAGGACGTGTTTACGGTGCGTTGACCTCACACGACCGAATTCAGCCCAAATGGTGGTTTATGTGGGGAATGGCCCCCCAACAACCTCATTTCAGCCCAGATTGATCACATTGAGAAGTTGTTTGTTGCACAAACGGCTCGGTTTGTTGTTGAGATGTTCTTGCCCTGATGATTTTGACGTTATACCCATGCTTTCCGCCGTTTGTCAAGCTTGCTCATGCTCAACAAGTATGCCATGAACAACAACGGAACCATCGGACACGTCCACATCTTCAAGGTCGAGACTACCAGGCAACAGTTTGCTAGCTTGTCAGCAACACACACAAATGTGCCACACTTGTCAACGGGTTCTTTGCCGCAATCATTGCCTGACGCTCCATGACACCACACGTTTTTTTCCTTCTTTTTTTCTAGGTTGAATGTGTGACTTTTTGTTTCTTTTTTTTTTGGGTCTCGGTTGAATGTGTGACTTTGTTCTTTTCTTCTTATTTTTCTCGGTTGAAGGTGTGACTTTTTATTTGTATTTTTCTCGGTTGAATTTTGTGACTTGTTTCCTTTCTTTTTTTCCTCGGTTGAATGTGTGACTTTTTTTTTGCGGTTGTTTGGTTGAATGTGTGACTTTGTTTTTGTTGTTCGGTTGAATGTGTGATATGTTTGTGTTGTTTTTTGTTGTTGTTCGGTTGAATGTGTGACTTTGTTGTTGTTCGGTTGCATGTGTGACTTTTTTGTTGTTCAGTTGCCTGTGTGCCTTTCTTTTTCCCGGTTGTTCGTTTTTTTTTTTGGTTTGAATGTGTGATTTCTTTTTCCGAGTTGTTCTGTATGTGTGAGCTGCAATTCCAGTCAGGAGCCAACGGCAAGCTGGGCTCGCGGGTGCTCTGGATCGCATGGTCCGAGTCGGGGCCCAAGGAGCGAGGGGTGGCGTGACTGCGTGGCTGCCGCGAGGTGTGGCGCAAAGAACAACCGGAAGCATGGACCCAAACCTGCAGTCCCCTGGTAAGCCCTCCTGTCTAATTTTTTGAGCCGCGACGTGCCTTGTGCATGTTGGTTGGGGCCGGAGCTCCGGCTGGAACCTGAGGGGCAGGCGAGGAGATCTTAGTGATGAGTCAGAAGCACGGCAATTTACTTCTTAGGATTGCAGGTCTGCAGGTCTCAGGAGTGGAGACTCCACGAATTCTACATGAGCTGCAGAGTTTGCTGGATCCCAAGTATCCGGCAAGTTTGGCAGTGCTTCAGCGTCCCTCATATTTCCCTTGGGTGGTGTCGAACGGCTCCATTTGGAATGAGTCTCCTTCCGGTGGTGTTGTTTTCAGGCCTTGGGTCTTGGGCGGTTGGCGGTTCTCAATGGAAAGTGCGGTGATAGCGAGAATCTTTGTTTGGTGGGTCCCTGTTTTAAGGTGGGCAAGCATTTGGTTTCGGCTACGACAGAGGTGCTTCGGCCAGTGGCCGTTGCATAGACCCACGGGAATTCTTTTTGGTCAGCCTGGAGAAAGAGTTGGAGTCCGTTGTTGGTTTTTGGTTTAATCCTTTTTCTAGTTGCCTTCATGTTGGTTTGATCTCCAGTTTACCGCTTCGCCAGTGGTTTCAGCTTGGTGAAAGGACTCCGTGTCAACACGGCCCAAGCCCCGCGGCGCGCTTGTGCCGAGGCGAGAGCAGCGCGGCCTCGGGGATTTCTTCGAGGACCTGCCAGGCTCGGAGCGATTGGTCGCTCAGAGATCGGGAGGTTCCCGAGTTCCCGAAGGCTTTGCTCTACATGGGTATGGGTCAAAATTCAGCCACCAGGGGACCGCAGATTTCAGTTCCATGCCTCCATTTACCAGGGTTCTATGTTGGGCACCAACTCTTGACCCACACCCACATCCAATCAGGCGGGGGGGCTAAAGTGTGGGGGATGGGACACCCCGGATAAAAAGTCCTTTGGGAGGAATTTGTTTCGAGGCAAACAAATCGTGGCAAAGGTGTTGGCACCTGGCTCAGTTTGCTACTGACGCAAAGTCAGCTACAGTTTGCGGTGCAACGTTATCATAATATGCACGTGACATCACCTATTGCTCCTCGCAAGGCAGTGCTGAGAGCAATGGGGAAGGAAGATATCGCTGGCTTTAGCTCCACCGAAGCATGTGATCAGACCAAGCAGTTTGCCACCAGCTGCTTCAGACTTTGGAGGATGTCTTGCGCTTGGGCCAGAGGACTTCATGAGGATTTCTCGCCGTATCTCATCCAAGTCCTTGGCCCCGGCGAGGTAGGAGGAACGCCTTATCCCGTTGCACAAACGCATGGCTTGGGGACGCCGACGGCAGCAAATTTTCAACAGCGAGTTGGCTTCCACTGCTTCTGGTCCGTGTTGAAGCAAAGGGCAATGAGGGGAAAGGAAGAGAAATATAGATGCGTAACAGCCAATCTGTGATAGAAAGGAGATGGAGCCTGCTTTCCTTGTATCCACTTCCTACCTCTCTTCCCTCTTCTCCAGAATAGAATTTCCGCAAGGTTGGACAGATGGTTACTGTCCCAACCATCTAGGCCATGACGTAGAACCTGCCTGGTGCACGCTCTCATCCCAGCTGAAGGATCGCTAAGGGTTCCCTTTGCATGGAATCTTCTTCAACGGTAAAGACGTCAAGGACTCTCACCCTCCCTCCCACTAACATAGCACCTCACAAAGCGGGTTCCTTTAAAACGAAACTGATCTTCCAAGTATCCTCCCACAGGTGTCGTGGTTGTTGGAGGAAGGGTATTCATTGGTTACTCACTCATCCATTCGATCACACCTCGAGCTTTGTAAGCGCCGTGAGGCTTGGCTTCCAAAAGGACCTGGCATGGAGAGAGCTAGAACACTCTCTTGCTTAGAAAGTTTGTGCTCCTTCAGGCTCTGAGACAAGCCTTGGTTTCTCTTGCTTTTCATATTAGGCCATCCCTTGTCTGTATGAAAGGGTTTCATTTGGTTTCGCAACTCAACAGCAAGTGGTTTTTCTGGGTTTCGCTCCATTCATAAATATAATCTCTCCAATACCCGCGTTGTGGGACAATGCTGGGAATCGGAAAGGTTTTCGAGCCTGGCACCTGTACCCGCCCCTAAGATCGTTTCTTTTGAAAAAGCCCTTCAAACCATGGCAAACAAATTGGGGATGTCCCTCATGGCTGGTTTGGTTTTTAGCTCCCTTTGTCTTTCCCTTTCGTTTCTTCCCTGTCTTCTCTTTTGGTTTCCCTCTAATTTCCTCCTGAACCCATCAAAAGCCCCCCCCCCCCCCCCTGAAACCTTGTCTTTTGGTGTTTTCCTGGTTTCCTCTCAAACTCATCAACCCCCCCCCTCTCCACGGTGAAACCCAGAATTTCTCTCCTTTTCGAAGGCTTCTCGCTGGCGTCTAGCGTGGACTCGGCGGACTTCGCCCGGGGCCCCAGCTTGCCGCTTGGTCGTGGCGCGTCAG